CAAATAAGATCAATATTGTCCAAATCAGCTGTTGTGGTAAGGAGTCTTGTCGTTTGACAATTGGATAGGAAAGTCAATGGTAAGGCGACATGTAATAAGTTATGAATATATATTATCTCCTGTAGTTGCCAAATATGTTCACTCTTTTGTGAGACAAAATTATCATAAATGTAGGACTGGTGAATTTTCAATAGCCTCTAGCCAAATCAGCCGACAGACACGTTTCTAAATGTCGGACAATTCTTATGACTTCGTTTAGGCTGGGAGAACCAACGTAGACTAACTTTATGCATGCCAAGGATCGACGTATGTTGCAGTCGTTCCTCTGTGTATTTCTGTCAACTTCTAGTGTTGATATATGATTTTACCTAGTGAAAACATTTATTTCAGCCAGTTACCTGATTTTTCCAATAGCATAATCCTGATTGAGTATTATGGCGAGGCATAACTTTGACATAAGCCAGGAAGTCAAATCATTTCCGACTGATTTTACTAGGCCCTGAATCTTAGACACAGATTACATACATTGGTGTTCTACATGAGTGATTTGAACACCATGATCGAGATACATATCAGCTTTTTTGCATGATAAATGTCCAGGATTGGTGGCCCCATGTTGATTATCCATCATTGAACAACTTAAGGTTAACTGGTCGCTACCCCTTTCCCAAATCATAGGATTTTTCGCTTAGGCTACCTGGAAAACAAATTTTTGACTCAATCTTGTGTGAGCGTGCTATCAGATTCCAGTAGCATAATAAAAAGACCATCATTACTCCGTTTGGTTTGTTTGAATTTCCGAGAATGCCATTTAGATTAAAGAACACTGGACAGACACTTCAACGATTTATGGATGGGGTCACTAAAGGACTGGATCTTGTTTTTGTGTATATTGATGATGTGTTAGTAGCTCACAGTTCGCTCCATGAACCTACATCAACTGTTCGAAAGATTTCAGATATTTGGTAAGAATTATTAATCATTCCGAATGCATTTCCGGAGTCGAGAGCATAGAGTTTTTAAGTCACTCGTGGAATCAAACTAATAGATACAAAAATAGCAGCCATCCAAAGTTTTCCAGAACCAGATTCATGGAATAAACTTTGACGTTTCTTGGGGATGATTAATTTTTATCTCACGTTTATACCACATTGCTTAACCATTCTATAATTTTTGACAGATGTGTTAAAAGGCAAAGTGAAAATGTTTGCCTTATCCTACGGAGTGAAACATGCATTTTGCAGCTAAAACAGCAATCGCTTCTATTACCATGTCGACCTACCTAAGTCCTGACCCGGAAGAATCACCAATTTTGTGTGCAGACACGTCCTAGAGAGCATTAGTTGCGGTACCAAAACAACAATTGAATAATTAAATCAAAACACTTGCTTTCTTTTCAAAGAAACTAGAACCAACTCAATTGCGATATAGCAATTTTTGCAGAGAATTATTGGCTATTTGCTTAGCGGTTAAACATTTTAAACACTTACTGCAAAGTAGAAATTTCGTGAAATTCACTGACCACAGACCTTTTACTCACGCCTTTAATGCTCTCAGACAAGTAAATCACGGTTATCGATTCTCGACTGACATGCAGTTTACGAAAGGTGAATCAAGTTTTTTAGCAGATACTTTATCATATTTCAATGTCAATACTATTTTCTCCAGTAGAACGTCCTACCAGATGACCATTTGTATGCCCGAAAATGTTATCTCATAAGAAAACATTGCTGCCGTATTCCTTGACAGATGGACTCCTAATTTTTGTGTGCCTTCTACAGTTACTTCCGACAGAGGTTCACAGTTTCATTCTCAACTCTCCAATGAAGTTACACTCGTTTTGAGTATCCATTACATCACTACAATAAAATACCATCCAGCAACAAATAGAATGATGAAACGATTCCACAGACAACTGAAAAGCTCACTGATGGTACAGCCAGATGCAACCAAATGGAATGAATTCTCACCTCTGAATTTATTGACCATACGTTCTATAATTAAGGAAGACCTCCAATCCACACATGCACAACTCGTGTATAAAGCTCATTTAACCTTACCTGATCAACTAGTAATGTGCGATGTCACATCCCTATGTACGTACCCTGCTTTCTTTTGCGAAATACTAATGAGCCAAATGAATAACACTAAGCCTGTTGCAAATAAGTCGGCGTCTAGATACACGTAAGTTTGTAATTGTTCGTGTTCGCTCCGTAAGATGTCCTTTACAGCACCTTTATGAATGACCTTATGAAGTATTGGAGAGGCAAACAAAATATTTCAAAATCAAAAAGAAAAGAAAAAAAGAAACAGTTTTAGTTGACAGGATAAAACCTGCTTTTATACAGTCCGAAATACGTGACATTCGAAAGCCATCGGAAGACAGTAGCAATTGCACAACGCAGCTTGACGCGTTTCTAGCTAGTTCTTCATCTACTTCTGCGAAATCAACACCTCTTACAATGGATGATGTTAAAGTTACTTATTCCACCACTTTACCTTCTTCGTTGTACCCGTTCACCTTATTACTAATCGTTTACATAATATATATAAATAAATTCACAATTTATTCGGGAAATTATCAATTTACTTATTGTTATTATTGTTATTATACATTGCTTTACCGTTGTTAAACCTTTTATATACATTTATAAATACATCAAAAATAATAAACAAAAACATTTTTAACATAAAATATTTTTGCTCGTAGGCATATATACATATAAAGACCACATTTTCCCCATGTCACCTTATGTGTAATCACATTCATATTCAGTATCTGATATTTTCTGTATCAGTAGTGAAGTAAATGATGTAAATGTTTGGTTATATACACACATACACTACAGTGGCCGTTAAAGTAAATGCCACCTTTGTCAACTGTTCTACTTTAATGGCCACGGCCCGTGATTGAGGATATTGACAGTGTTAGAACATGCTTTTAGAGGTAAAAAAATCCATAAAATAAATAGCTCTGTAAGTTTTCGACATTGGATGCTGACCACGTGTTTTAGTGGACTCATGGAAAGACACTTCGATTTCCAGGAGAATTCGTGGATCCTTCATCCTCTTCAATGAGCATGGATCTAACCTCCTACATGAACAGGCTTACAAACGCAATGCGTTCAGCTAAACCTGCTTCCACTCGACCACAATCCACCGATGTTTTCGATCAACCTGACTTACAATATAGTACACACGTTTTCGTTCGTCGAGACGCACATCGACGACCATTCGAATCAGCATACGAAGGACCTTTCAAAGTTCTTCAACTTTAATCTAAGTACTATATAGTCGATAAGAACGGAACAAACGATAGCATCACCATCGATCGCCTAAAAGCAGCGTATTTATAAGGAAATCCTATTCACGTCGATTTCCCTTCGGTACAATCGCACAACATGACTCCTACACTCACAATTCCTCAACCAACAACCAACACTAGCGATGACATTCCGAATGTGTCTGAAAATGAACTTAAAACGACACGTTTTGGAAGAAGAGTAAGATTTCCAGATCATTTAAACGACTATTGCACGTAAGGCACTACTCGGCATTTTATATTATCTCGATCTTCCTTTTTACGATATATAATAATTTTTTAAAAAAAATACAATTTTAATATGCTCATATATTTTTATTTTTATTTACCAAAAACAGAACGAAAAATTCAAATTTTTTAACGCTATTACGTGTGCTTGAGTTTATTTTCCATTTTTTTCGCCGACATTGTGTTTTTACGTACATACGAGTGTATTTCGACATGCACTTACATTTTCTTTTTTTCTTTTCCAGGACGGCTGGAAAAGAACGATACAGTTTACGAGGAGCCGAAATTTTCATTGTAACTTTTCTTTTTTTACTATGTTGTACCTCGGTCCCATATAGTAAGGAAAGACGACCAGACGCTGCTAAGTTTAGTAAGTTATCAGAAGAGTGTTTACCAACGACAAACTCGTTGGGTTTAAACTTCTGGCTGGCCACGTCTTAGGGTCATCACTGCCCCACTAGGGGGGAGTGATCTGTAGCGGTAAATAAATCCACAAACTAAATAGCTCTGTAAGTTTTCGACATTGGATGCTGACCATATGTTTTAGTGGAGGCGCTGAAGGCGCTCGGTAATGCATTCGCACTGGATCACGTGTGGTAACGATGTGCTCAACATCTTCCGCAATCGCTAGCCAGATTAGATCAAAGATTTCCGATATTTTGGTTATCGCCAAATACACTCTTCTGATCTCCTCGACTCTGTCTTTTGATTTCTCTCGGTGGGAACAAAGTATATTAGAAGGTGTTACTGGTAGAAGCGTTGTCAAACACTGAATACCTGTATCATCCTCATAAGTAAATAAGTAAGCTTAATCTAAAGAACATATCAGACTATGAAAACACCTAATAAGCCATTTGCTACGTACAAATCTTTCAAAGGGTGATTTTAGATTTGCTTCGAAACAACTACACGCTTTAGATATATAGGCATGTCAATTGACCTATGGGAAGGAGTCTGTTTTGTTTAAATTTTAAAAGAGAAAAATTTATGACAACCTATAAGTTACTAGGAATTTTAAACTGATTAGAAAGTAAAATCATGTGGCAAATTCTGAACCATTTTTTAAAATGCCGTTTATTAAAGTTCAAACAACTAAACGCATTTTAACTACTTAAAAATGAGTTTTTTTCCAAAGCACGGTCTGTCAGCTAACAAAGAAATAGTTCTATAAAAAGAAAGTTTACTCGCGAATAATTCAGAAAAATTCATAAAATTTTCTCTACGGACAGATTAGTTGTCGGAAAATACAACCTCTGTATTCATCGTGTTCCCTTACGAATATTTTAGACATTGTTTCTTGATCACATTTTTATACCACTTTTCCATCGTTTTTCTTTGTTTTTTTGAACAGTAAAATATACATTTTGACCATATATTGTTTGTTACTCTATGAATAAATAAATTTTCGATTCCTCGAATAGACATTGGATATTGGATCGATGTCTACTGAGGTCATGATCGGTGTTTATTTTGATATTCTTCGTTACTTCTTATAATTTAACAGAGTAGTTCTGTCTTACAGGTATTTCATCGGAACCTCATTCTAATTTTTCATTCTATAATATTTTATTCCGGATGTTCGAATTTTAGGATGAATGTCACTAGTTTTCACTTATTTTCTAGGTTGAAAATCTCTGAACTGACATGATTATTTAGGTTTATTTAACTTTTTGACCAAATAAACAATGGTCTATTCTTAGAAATTTGAAGTCAGTAGTCGATCTATGTGTGTTGGTTATTACACAGGTTATCTTTCACTTTCCGTTGGTGGATATAATCGCTAACCAACATAAATTCTCTCCATAAATTAGAGTCCTACCCTGTTTTTTATTGCACTTCTCAAGTATCGGTCCCTCAGTAATTCACCTTTATTATGTACTTATTAAAAAGTTCGGGCGATATATTTAATATTTACAACCGTTATCTTAAACGTATATGGTTTAGTGTCGATTTCTAAACACCCATCCATTATTTTTAATTGTTAAAATGTGCTTTACTAATACCATCTTAATAATTTTTTTACCAATCACTCATATTGAGTAAACATTTGCTAGTGCTTGCTACTGACGCTCAGTCCACTTTCTAACACAAAGGTGAGGCCTCATTTTTTGTAACTATACTTTCTCAAACTTCTATGAATATTATTACTAATTACATAAACTAATCATACATCAACCTAAATGCATTTAGATTTCCCTATTCTATCAATGTAGCTGAAAATAATGTTCACTTTTAAGCCATAAAAGCGAGTTTTGTGCATACCAAGGGGTTACTGCATTCCATAATACAATCTTTTTATCTCTGGACCATGAATTGTAATCCTTAGCGGCAAAGTACGACTAAGTCCAATGATAGTTTGATCAATCTATCAATGAAATGCTTTTTAACTAGTCGTAAACACATCGAGAGCCCTGGCCTGGCCGACCACACTTACTGACATGTATTCGTCATCTAATTTCGTATTGGCCAATCGTTCTATGCAATGCAATAAAACTATTCAAACCTTTGATTGATATTTAATTTTTATGGTTTAAAACGTAATATAGTTTAACTCATGGTTAATAGAATATGAAAATCTTGGGTTATCACTCGATAATTGATCCTTCTCCAAATTAATTTTAGGGTATTATAGACTGAAAACACTAATAAACTCTTGATACGACTGAAGTAATGAAGAAGTCTGAATCTCACTCGAGTTTCGTCGAATGGCGGTTAATGTACATCACTCGGATTATAGATAAATAGGATGCAAAAGATCAATTTACATATGCATGTTGAACTCAACGATGAGTGAAAAGTTCTGACACAATGGTGACCAATGGTAATGGCTCTTCGAAATTGAAAAAAAACCAAAGGATAATATAATACAAGTGAATAAACATTCTTGGTTCTCAGATGGGCTTGCTTTAAAAACTAGTTACCTAAACCATTGTTAAGTGACAAACTAATCACTCATTATTCGTAAGCACTTCAAGTTATGGAGTATGGTGATTAAACTTTTACCTGTAGTTTTAGTAATCATCCATTTCTCTGTAATCCATCCATAGGTTACAGGAGACACTGATATTGTCCCTCAACATTTGGTTGGGCTTATAGATATTTTGTCATATCTTCCTTTCTTATTTGACGACTTAAAACATCTATGAAGATTTCCCATAAAGTTTTACTTACACTTATAGTTTCCCTTAAACGATATTCTACTTTTGGTTGATATGTTTTAGATATGTCGTCTGGGGACAACAATTCACAACATAAAGAGAGTTTAATGCATGAAATCAATGCATTGTTTGCTCCACCAACAAATGAATCATACGGTAAAAAAGGTTCACTCGGTATTGTAAGTTTTTTTGTAATCTTCTTACGTACATTTAAATATTTAATTTTTATTAGCCTTCTTTTCGTCGTGCAAGAAAAAATAACGAATCAACGACGAACAGTTCGGAAACAAATAACTCCAGTTTAGAGCACTACCAACTACCAAATACATCAAAAAATGATCCATTTTGGAGGAAACCTCGTGCTAATTGTCATGAATATTGTGATAGTTGTGGTTGTATTGAAGGCGAAAGACTTGTCTGCGATCGATGTCCGGCCAGCTTTCACCTTGAATGTCTTGATCCACCTTTAGATCCGGATGAAGCACCTGTTGGTGTCTGGTTTTGTCATCGATGTTCAATGGTATTGAAAGTAAGTCAACCCGGACTTCATATTTATCAATCAAATATTTACTTTGTTCAATGACAGTTAAACGATGATACTAAGTTGATAACCTTCATTCGTTTAACATAAAACGTCTGATTTTACATTAAGCTTATGTTTTTTGACTTGACTATTTATTTTACTAGACTATTTGTAAGTAACTATAGTTTCAAGTTTATGTATATAGAATATTGCTGACCCTTTAAAATCATATAAATCACATGTGTAGGTGATTTGTTTCTATACAGAAACTGCATGGTGACATATTTGTTGCCAGAAGTAAGCATAACTTCAGGTGTACAAACTTTCATGAAAATCTAATATGATTTATCAGCTGTTTCGTGATCTCTAATCTTCAATGGTTTTTCGGTTAGTATCTGGCTATGATGATGGCCATTCTCAAATGTCATTTCTTTAAGTACCTACGTAATTAAACAAAAACCAGGTGAAGTCCTTTGGCGTTCTTTCTCATTTTCTTTTTCTGTGTGTTGAAATGCAAAGTTTGGCAGCTTTACATGTATCATGTTAGTTCCAGGTCTTACGTTGCTTGTACCTAAATGTCTGTAAAATATACTCTCATCTGTTCAAATAGTCTGAATTAACAGAAAGATTTGTTAATTAAATTCATCCTATTGGTATTTTTGTTTTTCAAATATGGATATTAGACACATCGCATATATTTACCATCCGATATTTTTCTTCATTTTCAAATTTATTTATTCATTCCCTTTTTAATATATAACAGGATGAAGAAGATAAAACTTCAACATCAAGTAGTCAGACAACTATAGCTACAGATACAGGTTCTTCACGTTCTGGTAAAAGTGGACAAAAACGCCAAGATCATGCATCATCATCATCAGTTGGAACTACAACAGCAGCAGCAGCAGTTGGACCATCAACTTCCACTTCTACATCTTCCATCAATAGTAACAATAATAATAGTCATTCTCACCAACAAAATCCATTACAACAATTTATCCAATCACAAACTAGCAAACGTCATTATACATTCCGTTCGACATTTAACGAACAATATTGTTTAGATATGAATAAATTATCGAGCAGTCGTTCTAGTACTTGGGGTGACTCAGCGTATGTTGCTGATATTGAAGAATCTGAGCTAAGAGCATTATGGAAAGTAATTGAATATGCGAAATATCAAAATCCAAAAGAATATGATTTACCGAAAGACTTATTACCTGGTGTTAAGCTTCCTGGTAAGTATAAACGTAGATGGGTCTTTTCACACTAAATTCATAATGATACCATTTTAATAAGTTTAACTGAAACCTAATTTATGTTATTTTAACTGAATTCCTATTCCTAACGACATAGTTATTTAATCTCCATATGCTTTTTTTAAAATATTTCTAAAAGTTCTCGGAAGCTAGACTTTTTACCTATTTTTTCGTTTAATTGTATGCATAAACAATTTTCCCAATTTCAGTCCATCAATCGTCATTAAGGTAGAGAATTGGTCGGTCAAGTGGCGAATAAGATCAAATACATCAGCACAGGAGATCAACAGTGACCCTAGGTTTGTACCATTCTTGGAAACTTCAATAATACCACAAAAATAAGTTGATTTACTTCTAAAGACTCATCTTCATAAATAGCTTCCAACAGTTTATGAATTTTCCAGAAGTTTCTCCTAGGTGTCACCCTAAACCTAAATAGTTTCGTTGACACATTTATGGATAAATTTCAAGTATTTTAGGTTTAATTTTGTGTTCAGTCTTGTATATCTACAGCTGATTGAGTATTCAATCAGGAGTAAAACAATTGTTTGAACAATAGCACCATAGTTTATAACTTAACAATTAAATTATGTAACTGTATATTAATCTTGTTCAAATCCATTTATTTATTAAATTGAAAAAAGCGTTTCATCACTATACTGGTGATTCATCTAAAAAATCCTCGTGCTTGTTTTATATTTTCTTTTGTAGCCTAAAAATAGACACCCAACTACAAGAAATATAAAAGGCTTGATATATTATTATTATTTTATTATTATTTTAACACATAGATATTGGTACAAGGAGGCACCAAATACATATGTGCCACACAAATTTCATTTGATATGTGTGAGGGCTGGGATACTGCCCGGTTGCCCAGACCGAAGCAGGTGGTTTTCTTATGGGGCCACTTCCCGAGCCTTCGACCTAAAGGTCTGACCCACAAGGCAGTGAAGCATCGTAAGGAGATGCAGTTTCATGGAAGCCGGTGACCAACAGTTGGTTCATACGCCATTTGTTCCCGCAGGATACTGGAGCCCATGTGCACCATTGGTTTGGAATCCGGTTAAAGCGCCGGACATACGCCTTTCGCCCTCCCGTTTTCGTAAACAATAGCAATGCCACGAGAAGGCAGTGAGTAGGGCTTCCCTGGCAGAGGCTATATACGCGTGGCCGTGTGAGAGCATTTAGAGAGGGAGGGCGGACTCTCCCCACTCTCGGCCATACCGGGGCATCTGGGGGCCTTGATACATTAAGTATATTCCTTTTAGATTTCACTTGCTGACTACTATGTATTGTGGGATAATTCACTGTAGTTCTGATCTAACATAGTTTTTGATCGAATAGTTAGATAATTGAGTCGTATATTTCACGTAATCATATATTTTGGTCTAAAATCTACTACTAGTGATCTGAACAATCTCAAGCTCTATACGTTATAACATAGGCTACTTTCATTTTGAAATATTGGATATGTTTTAGTGTAGTCTAGAGTAATCTGCTTATTACCAAATAACTGTCTATTTCACATTTGTTTACTAGTGGCTTACTTTACGAAAGAATAGAGTTATTGATTAACTTGGTTTATGTCATTGTCAGAGAGGATTTTGATTGTTCTGTTATTGATAATCTTGATTCAATTTTGATCAGTTTTCGTTGAAACATGGGCTTCAATATGACTGTTTTTCACAAGTTTTTCTAGAATAGGTTCATTTATAGCTAGCAGTACATCCCAGAACGCGTGTTTCGTTCTATATGGAACTCATCGCATGAATATACGTGCACCCCAGTACTGATGTTTACACTGAGATTCAAACAACAAGCTAATTCAAGTTTATTCTAATAATGATATAAATGTCACATCCATATCACAGGTAAGTGGCTATCCGCATTAAGTTTTTGAAGCGAAATGTATTGCTCCCGAGTTCTGATGCAGATACGAATACCGGTATACGAGTATATCTAACTAACTAGTCTCAAATACAATAAAAATGTCCATTATGTTTCCTTGCTAAATACAAATCCACCTATACTACGTAAATTGGTTCTCGAATTTTTTATTATTCAAAACTAAGGAAGAATCTAATACACCAATTATCTTGTTCATCTGGACTTTTTTTCCGATTACCTGTTAAGGTTCATATAAAACACCAACAGAACGAAAAAATAAAAGTATCATCGAATTAGAGAATGGTCTTATCCCACAACCTGTAAGACGTTGTTATGTATGTGTTCGGTAAGTTTAAAATCATTTTTATAATTATATACATATATACATGATATATTACTCACATTATTCAATTGTTGAATGTTATGACAAGTTGTTTTTGTTTACATTTATGATTGTCTTATTTCAAATTTGTCCGAGTTGATGTAGCTTAATCTAAGTTAAACACCAACCAACAATCAATGTGTTTTTAAACTTACTTACGCCCGTTACTCCTCGTGAAGGAATATAGGCCACTGACTAGCATTCGCCATCCGACCCTGTCCTGGGCAATCCTTTCTAGCTCCTTCCAGTTGTTATTCATCCTTTTCATTTCTGCTTCTATTACTCGACGTAATGTGTTCTTTGGCCTTCCTCTTTTCCGCCTTCCTTCAGGATTTCAAGTCAGGGCTTGCCTCGTGATGCAGTTTGATGATTTCCATAATGTATGTCCTATCCATTTCCATAATCTTTTCCCAATTTCCTCCTCAGATGGAAGCTGATTTGTTCTCTTCCACAGAAGGCTGTTACTGATGGTATCCGACCAATGGATGTTAAGTATCTTGCGTAGACAGGTATTTGTAAATACTTGTACCTTCTTGATGATGGTTGTAGTAGTTCTCCAAGATTCAGCTCCGTACAGTAGAACTGCCTTGACGTTGGTATTGAAGATCCTCACTTTGATATTGGTCGAAAGTTGTTTTGAGTTCCATATGTTCTTCAATTGTAGGGATGCGGCCCTTGCTTTGCCATTCCTCGCCTTTGTGTCTGCATCTGAACCTCCTTGTTCATCGATGATGCTTCCCAGTATGTGAAGGGTTCTACATCTTCCAGCGTTTCGCCATTATGAGTGATTGGACTGCTATTCTCCGTTTTGAATTTGAGGACCTTGGTTTTCCCCTTGTGTATGTTGAGGCTTACTGATGCAGAGACTGTCTTTACATTGGCTATCTTTATTTGCATTTGTTCGTGTGTATTGGATACGAAGGTTAGGTCATCTGCGAAGTCCAAATCGTTTAATTGGTTCTGAGCTGTCCATTGAATTCCGTGTTTTCCCTCAGATGTCGAGGTCTTCATAATCCAGTCGACCACCAGAAGAAAGAGGAAAGGAGAGAGTAGACAGCCTTGTCTGACTCCGGTCCTTACTTGGTGGTTTTTAAACTAGAAACTCAAAAATGTTCCTTGTTCTTTGTTAGTAAAACACTGACAAATTCATTTCTTATTGCTTTCTCAATAATGGTAATAAATAGTTTTTAATGCTTTTAAAGATCGCTCTCTGAAAATACAAATTATAGGTCTTAGAATTTAAGTTTAGGCGTGTCGTTTAAAGATCTAATAATGATTGAAACCGTATCTTTGTATAAATTTGGTTAGAAATCTTTTAGAGATAAACCATTTTCTAACACTGTATCTGTTTGGAGTGGTCAGTCAATAAGTCTCAGGTTCAAACCTCGTTCTACATACTTCGGTCTGCTCAATCGATGATTCTAAGTAACTGGAAGCCAAGTACATGAATATCTCTCCCTAGTAAACGAACTGATCACTAATATATGTCACTAATATATTTTACTTTTAAAACTGAACACAATATCTATCACCCGAAACGTTAGAGCAACACTACCCACCATAATACTTTGTAAAGAGAACTACCACTAAAGTGGTCATTAATTGAGTTACAAAATGGTTACTAACTTTTATTTTTACGTGTTAGATTTTTTCGGTTTTCCCTTCGTTAATATGTTTAAAACATACGATATATATTAAGGCTATAGTTTGTTTAAAGAATCTACTCAGTCAGTCAGTCAGCTGTAACGTAGGACCAGGCACATATATGCATCGGTCCAAGTTACCACATCGCATTAGTACAACAAGATGAACAACAACTTTATAGAAGTAGCTACTCCAATGGTAGTAATATATAAAAGAAAGATTGTGTATAAGGATATAATATAGGAAGAAAGAATTAGTTGGTAGAACGAAAGGCATAAAGTAATTTTAATCTCATGGTTCAAGGAAAGACGGAAAGTGTATACACATCGATGCTGAGTCATGTCACCCAGAGTCTCCAACGATTGGATACGATAGTCACTTGGACCCCAACTAAATAGTCTGCATCTATTAACATGGCTCAGATTATAAGTTATGATGTTATGGACTGATACCACATTTTGGTTTCCCGCCTCTAACTTTCGTACATCCGTCTCCAACACTGGTATACGTAACACATGGCCCGACCATCTCAGTCGATGAAGATTTACAACTCCGCAAACTGATTCACCATCATTCCCTAATACCCTGTGTCTAACCTCACTATTAATTACCCGGTGATCTCAGCAGATGCGAGCAATATTTCTAAGACATCTGTTGTCAAATACTAGCAACTTACGAGTATCTTCTACTCCTAATGGCCACGTTTCATAGCCGTAAAGTAACTGGTAAATACTCATCAAATAACCATGCTATTTTGTACTACTATTATTGTATATCACTAAATCATGAATAACATTAAAGCAATTTAAGTTTTAATTCATTATTCAAGCCTTCCTCCCTCTACACTCGTTCAGCTTCCCAAATATTAACATTTGTAGAGATAATATCGGTTATTGTTTTAGCATGGATATCAAAACCAATAATTTTTTCGGTGATTACCTCTTTTAATGACAATACACTCTGATAATCATGCTATCGCAAGTTCAGATTCAAGATCGTACGTGGTTACATACTAAGATAATTTGTTTTTCAGTTTGCTATGTCTTTACTTATATTTGAGCGAAGAAAATGTGTGCACATCGAAACGCTAAATACTTACTTACGCCTGTTACCCCCAATGGAACATAGGCCTCCGACTAGCATTCTCTAACCCACTGTGTCCTGGGCCTTCCTTTTTAGTTCTATCCAACTGTTGTTCATTCTTCTCATGCCTGTCTCCATTTACCGGCGTAATGTGTTGTTTGGTCTTCTTGTCCTCTTTTGGCCTTGATGATTCCAAGTGAGGGCCTGCCTTGTGATGTAGTTGGGTACTTTCCTCAATGTATGTCTTATCTACTTCCAGCTCTTCTTCCTGATTTCTTCCTCTACTGGAATCTGTTTAGTGCTCTCCCACAGTAGATTTTTGCTGTAGAAAACTAACTCACTAAAAAACACATTAAATAAACATCTCAATCACACTTAAACTAATCACAATATTCTTAATATTCATAGTTATACCCTCAAAATTTATCGCTAAGGTTAAGCTCAAAAACTACCATCTTTTTAATGCTAGTCGAATGAATGGCCCCCAAATGCCCTGGTACGGCCGAGAGTGGGGAGAGTCCGCTCTCCCTCTCGAAATTATCTCACATGGCCACGCGTATATAGCCTCTGCCAGGGAAGTTCTACTAACTGCCTTCTCTTGGTGGGGGTGTTGTTTACGAAATCGAGAGGACGAAAAGCGAACGTCCGGTGCCTTAACCGTGTTGGTGGATCCACCTGGGGGAGTTGGAAAACCCTCACTTCAAACCGATCGTGTACATAAGCCCCAGTATCTTGAGGGAACAAAAGGCGTATTAACCTATTGTTGGTCACTGGCTACCGTGGGATTACATCTCCCGACGTTGTTTCACTTCCTTGTGGATTAGACCTTTAGGTCAAAGGCTCCGCGTGTGGCCCCTAAGAAAACAAATTGTTTCGGTTTGGGCAACCGGGAAGTGTCACAGCTCTCACACATATCAAATGAGATCTGTGTGGCGCATATGCATTTGTTGCCTCTTCGTACCAATATCTATGTGTTAAAATAAATAAATAAGTCGAATGAATTAACCTATGATAGGCCCGAGTCAATCTGAAACTTAAGGTTATTATAACAATCAGAAAACATAAAAAGTATGAATTAGGGTTTCATAATAAATGCTAGGACTAGGATTCAAGCTTTAAGATTATAATTTATGTATCCAACTATTCTTTCAATTAATTTGTTTCTAAACATTTGTTTTTCAGAACATGTTTCTATGCTCCTTTGTTACCATGTGATTATTGTTCATCATGCTTTCATTTAGAATGTTTAAATCCACCATTATCTCATTTTCCACCACGTTCTGATCGATGGATGTGTCCAAATCATACAGAACATACAACTGAACGTTATTTAACTCGTTCAATACGATTAACTGAACGTATGCAAATTTGGACTAAATTATATTCATCATTAAATAATGAAAATAATCATTATGAACATTCTATTGATAAAACTGATGAAATGACAAAAATACTTGAACATATACCTCCATATGAATTAACTTATACACCGGATGAAGAAAGTTCTATACTTTCTGATTTAATGCGTACTATTCAACGTAGTAGAAATGAACAACAACAACAACAACAGTATCAGTTATTGTCATCGAATTTATCCAATACAGCAATGTCAAGTATTTTCGATTCTATACTATATACTACTAATAATACTACTACTATTGAAGATAAACAGCATATATTGTCCAATCGTCATATATGGCGTTTAAATCGTGAATTAGCAGCAAAGTCTAGAAATAATCAAAATTATTATGGTAAACAGATAAGAATTGTGGTAAGTATCCCACAATTTTATATGTCAGTCAGTCAACCACAACGTGGGACCAGGCACATATATGCATCGGTCCAAGTTGTCATACCTCATTAACACAACAAGATGAACACTGGATTCATAAAAGTAGTTAGTCCAGAGGTGGTAATATATAAAAGAAAGATTGCATATAAGGATATAGTACAGGAAGAAAGAATTAGTTCGTAGAAAGAAAGATATGAAGTGATTTTAATCTCTTAGTTTAAGGGAAGATAGAGAGTGTATACATCCACGCCATTATGATCGATTCTGAGTTATGTCACTCACAGTCTCCAAACATTGATTTCCATAGTCACGCGGACCCCAACCAAGTAGTCTGCATCTACTAACATGGCTCAGACTAGAAGTTAGTGTTCTACTGCTTATTAAAAGAATGAAGATAACGGATTTATCAAAATACACAAGGTTATATATTCGGCTTTGAGTTAAACCTATATTTAATGTAACATCTAGTAATACTGATAAGCTTAGGAAACGGAAGTAGGTGTCATAAAATCAGGAATCTATTATTAATCCAGTGCTTAAACCGGATTGATATGAAGGATTCACCTAGGGAAGTTGGAAAACCCTGATTTCAAATTAATGGTGCACATGTGTTCCAAGATCCTGAGGGTATAAATGGTGTTAGAACCTATTGTTGGTCATTGGCTATCATGTGTTTGGATCTCCTTACGTTGCTCCTTTGCCTTGTGGATCACACATCTAGGTCGAAGGCTCCCTTAAGAAAACCACTTGCATCGGTTTGGGCACCTGAGCAGTATCACAGCCCATACGCAAATGAAGTGGCGCATATGTATTCGGTGCCTCTTTTTAGCAATATTTATGTGTTCAAATAAATAAATAACTTTGAAATACCGATGTACCTCCTTATTCTATTGTCGGACCAATCAGTGTTAATTACCTAGTCGTCATGCTATTATAATTTTAGACTGATTTTTTTAAAATGTCTGTAGAGTTGTATTTTTGTAAAATTTCAAGAGTTTTTTACATTCGAAAACCAAAATACGGTTTTCTGATATAACTGAAGTATAGTGGAATTGTGATGTGTGCTACTTATATTGACTTAAGTAGTATATGATGTTAGTCGTGAACAGAGTTGGTCTGACAGCGGAGAGACAAGATGATCGAACAGTAAAAAATGAAAACATGATGCAATTTGTATGAAAATGCAAGAACAATGAAGTCTGAGTCATTTTAAGACAATTGGTGGACATTTTGCAAATTAAACATTGACTTTATGATTGTTAGATTTTATTAAAAGATCCTGTAATTTTGTGTTAAATACATTCGATTGTCTTCACTGGTATTCTTGTTCACTACAGAATAACGGGCATTGATGTATGGGTGAGAATGATAAAGTGACTGGTTGATTGCTATTGGATTGTGTCGGTTTTTGATGTGGAAATATATACATTCTAGTCAGGCTAATCACGTTCTTGATCTGAATTGTGAAGTCCTGTAGAATAGATACTGTGAGAGGGAATTTAGTGTAGATATTCATCTAAAGTAAATTAACTTTAATGTTTTGATTAATGTTATTAATTCAGTTTTAGTAATTATATCCCTTATAAGATATATCTGTGCTTTTTATCCCCTTATCTATCAAGGTACCAAAAGCAGTTAAACATTTATACAATAATCCAGTGAAACGTATCCCACGTATTAATGAATCATCAAATGTATATCAATTAACAAATTTACTTGATAGTTCCAGTACAAATGAAAAGAGTATAGTAAGCTTATTCTTTTCTTTTTTAATTCTTTCCGTTATTGTTATGGTTTTGAGTTTATGTTTGGTTTGTTCGCTATTTCTTTTTTTCTTTACTCTTTTTTCCGTTTTGATCAATTGTCACTTCCAATTGACTCAGACCCCTAAATGCCCCGGTACGGTCGAGAGTGGGGAGAATCCGCTCTCCCTCTTGAAATGCTCTCACATGGCCACGCGTATATAGCCTCTGCCAAGGAAGCCCTATCCACTGCCTTCTCTTGGCGGGGGTGTTGTTTACGAAATTGAGAGGACGAAAAGCGAATGTTCGGCGCTTTAATCGGGTTGTAGGAGACGTAGGATCCATCTAAGGGGTTGGGAAACTGCTTCCAAACTAATGGTGCACATGGGCTTCAGTATCCTGAAGGAACAAATGGCATACAAACCAATCGTTGGCCACCGGCTACCATGTGATTGCATCTCCTTACGATGCTCCACTGCCTTGTGGATCAGACCTTCGGGTCGAAGGCTCGGGAAGTGGCCCCCTAAGAAAACCACCTGCTTCGGTTTGGGCACCCTGGCAGTATCCCAGCCCTCACACATATCGAATAAGATTTGTGTGGCATATATGTATTTGGTGCCTCCTAGCACCAATATATAAATAAATAAATAGACGCAGAGTATTACGGAATGGTTGGAAACTAGTCGATGAGGTTGTAAATTTTCATTGACTGAGATGATTAGGCCACACGTTATGTATGCCTGAACACCGATTACTCCGATGCACAATCCTGACTAGTGTTGGAAACGGACGGGAGAAAGTTAGTGGCGGCCAAACCAAAATGTGACGTCAGTACATAACGTCACTAAATTCAAATCTGAGCCATGTTGGTAGATGCAGACGACTGGGTTGAGGTCCGCATGACTATTGTATCCAATCGTTGGAGACTGAGTGACATGACTTAGAATGAATCACAATGATGTAGGTGTATACACTCTTTGTCTTCCCTTAAACCATGAGATTAAAATTACTTTATACCTTTTTTTCTACAAACTATCTATTTCTACCCGTGTTATGTTAGTACACGCAATCTTTCTTTTATATATTACTACCATTGAAGTAACTGCTTCTATGAATTCGGTGTTTATCTTGTTGTGTTAATGGGTTGTGGCAACTTGAACCGATGCATATATGTGCTTGGTCTTGAGTTGCAGCTGACTGATTGACAACAGTTTTGCACGGAATCCATGACAATACGAACTTAACAAACTAATCAATATCAGTAATGATTTGTAAGGATTTACACTTTCAAACTGTTATGATTTTATGTCCGGCTTTTATCACGTGGTTTATCCACCAATCAAAATACGACTTATACAAATCTTAGCACCATGCCAGACTAATGACGTTCGACCGGTATGAGCAGCCTAGCGTCCTTATTGGTCCTATGTCTGACTAGCCCGTCCGCTTGAATCCAGAACACAATACCAGCTTCTGCAATATGAATCGGATCGAATCGTTTATTTCAGACATACTCGGTTTATATATCAACCAGATAGACCACAACGTACCATAAAATAGGAAATAATATTCGTACACAAAGCCAAAAAGTGGCTGTGAACATGGAAGGCAGTAGTCAATAAACTGAACATCGCTTAAGAACCGTAAATCGTACAATAATAAATTATAGGTCAAAATAAAGCTCATAATAAGAGGAATATAAATATACATAATCTAATGATTGAATAGTTATACAATAGGAATATTTATAGAGTATTAGTCCATTAATAGTCCTCGGAAGTTACTCTTGACTTAATCTTCACTGGGATGTAACACCTTCACTTTTTTTTCGAAGATTCCAAGTTTAGATTCTGATTTTAAAAAATTATGTGTAACTTTAAATTCTCCAATATTCTCCTCCTCTGCAAAACAATGTCGGATCCCTATATCTCCAAGCTACAATTAATAGGACTTTATTTAAACCATGTTTCTCGCATTGAATGAAGAATCCAGTAGAACTGACTAGATGATAATGAACGACCTTTGATTTGAGGTCAGAGTTCGGTTCTTCTAAGAAAAATGAACAACAATTTGATAGAACTAAAAAGAAAGTACCAGGATACAATGGGTTAGAGAATGCTGGTCGGAGGCCTATGTTCCATTGGGGGGTAACAGGCGTAAGTATGTAAGTAGGTAATTATTCAATCGTTTATTGATTATATTCTAATAATTTTGAATTGATTACAATCTTTTGTTTTCATTTATATTTTGTGTTCATTTTCTATTTCATTGTAAACTAAAGTTTGTTCGTGGCCTTTTACAATTTTATTTACAAAATACATTACAATTACCTACACAATCGTCAAATCTAATCCAACCAGATAGTAGTAGTAGTACAATGATTACTGATACTAGTGATACTATTGTCACTACTAATGTAACACAACTGTCAATATCATCATCGTCATCATTTGAAACAACTCCTATCACTGTAACAACGACAACTATTGACAGCCAAATCAATGATAATAATACATCTAGTTCCCTTGTAATAGATAACAAGACAACTGATACATTGAATCTAACTACAGATTCCATTGATATGAACACTGGCAATAATTCATCAATATTACCATACAATACAGAACAGATATCTAAAGATCCTTCATTTATTCAAGATGACAACGAACATTTGTGTAACTCTTTCGAACAATTGAATACAGCAATTATGAAGAAATTCAATAATATTACTGATAATAATAGTAGTAAGTTAAAAGGGAAAATATTTTATTAAATTGTCTTTCAACAATATACATTTCGAATAGTCCAGTTACACACATACACACTTATGATTTAGTACATCCCCGGACGAGCCCAAACTTTCCCTGCTTCAGCTTAAGCACCTCGGGCAGTATCCCAGCTCTCACACAAATCGAATGATTTATGTGTCGCATATCTATTTGATGCCTCCTTGTATCAATGTTTATATGTTTAAATAAATAAATACGGTACATAACTGAATAGGACTTATAGATTATATAATCTAACTATAACTGTCAGCTTATTAGCAACTTCATCATGTCTCCAAAGATTTAATCAGATGGCATGACTAGTCCAAATTTGTCGGAAGTGAAATAATTGTTGATAAGAACATTGGATGTTTATTGCTCCATATCTCTTAAATCTGAAATTGTGTCATTTGACGCTGATCTAACAGTTCCAGTGGTTAAAAGTTTGCTGTTAGACCTTGTTCTAAACCCTAATGTGATGGTAGGTGGGCACTGTTGAGGATTTCAAAGCTAGCACGAAATAATTATACAGTGCTCCTTGGTTTTCAATAGTCCGTCAACTAAAATCAGTTTGTGATGAGTACAACTTACGAATCAAACCAATTCACACAAATCCCCATTACCCAGTGGAGATAGTCCGTGTCCGGTAGAAACAAGTGTCTATCTCAGTACAATGGAAGATAGTCGCTCAGTTTCGTGGATTGGTTGAGGTTAGACATTAACACCATTGGATGCCGGCTCAGTGGTCTAGTTCTGGGTTCGAATCTCGCGGAGTGCGGGATCGTGGATGCGCACTGCTGAGGAGTCCCACACTATGACGAAACGGCCGTCCAGTGCTTCCAGGTTTTCCATGTTGGTCTAGCTTCAGTTGACTCATGATTTCAACCAAAAATATTAAGAAGTTGTCACACAATTTTTAACAATAAAAATGGATTAGCAATTGTCAAGGAAAATTCAGTGTTTAGGACAAAGAGTTTGTGTAAACATGAAATAGGCTTGAAAATGCTTATACAACCTTTAAAAGTTGATTTTTTTAGGTCAGATCTATGTTGTATTTTAGTTATGTGTTTCGTTATCGAGGAGTATGTTTCTGTTCTACTCATTATTCTCATCATGGTACTTGACACTAATTCTAGCTAAATTCAATTAGCAATGATGGATGGTGACTAGAAGTGGAATCCAGGATGCGCGTTTCGTCCTATTTGGGACACGTCAGCTGGATGTGCCTGCATCTTAGAGTTGATGTTCACTCTGGGACTCGAACCCAGTACCATTTGCTTCAAACGCCATCGCGTTATCCACTCAGCTACTGAGTCCTGATAGCCACTTGCTTGTGAAATGGGGTGAATTCGAATTCACTTGGTATTGTTTGGCTTGTATCTTCCCATTGAGATTTAAGACTGCAATTGATCAGTCTGTTATTGGCATATGTGCATACTGTGCGTATGCCTCGATATGACCTTAATTCACAATCTATTTGTAAGCAATGATGGATAGTGGCTAGCAGTGCGATCTAGGACTCATTAGCTGAGTGGATAACGCGATGGCGTTTGGAGCGAATGGTACTGGGTTCGAGTCCCAGAGTGAATATCAACTCAGGTACAAATACATCTAGCTGACGAGTCCAAAATAGGACAAAATGCGCATCTTGGATACCACTGCTAGCCACTATCTCGATTTGTTTATGAAACTCATTATGTTTTCTCTTTCCTTCTCACATTACGGTTTGAACTAGGAATCTTCAAGTTGTATAATTTTTAATATTTAAAGCAGTTCTATAAAATGAAATGTCCATTTATGTTCAAATTCTATTTTCATATTTAGTTCCTTCTAAATTGGCTCGTTTAGACCCTCAATTATTGTATACGTTAGCAGCACAACGTATTTATGATCTGTTGGGTATTAACAGTGAAAATTCTATTTTTCCTAATGAAGACAATATTGAACAGAATAGTTGTAAAAGAAAGAAAGACACTTCTAAAACATTGAATATTCCTGAAAGTTGTATCCGTGCAAGAGCTGTACTAACACCTTGTGATGGGACTAATGGATATGAAACTCGAATGCATTATAGGCAATTGACTGTTGGTACATGTAAGTTTTGTTTTTAGTTTCATAACTTAACTGTTTATAAGTAACAAGTTTATTTATTACAAAATGTATTTTAAACGGCAGTTACATCAATTTTGAATATACTTCCTTACTTATGCCCGTCAATGACCCTCATGGAGGAGCATAGGCCACCCACCGGCACTCTCCATCCAACTCTGTTCTGAGCAGTCCTATCCAGTTGTTTACACTTGCTATTCATCTTTATCATATCTGTTTCCGATTCCTGACGCAGTGTGTTCTTCGACTCTCCTCTTTTCCGTTTCCCTTCAGGATTGCAGGTTAGCGCTTACCGCGTAATGCACTTTGATGATTTCCGTAATATTTTTCCTATCCACTTCCAACGTCTTTTCCTAGTTTTCTCTTCAGCCGGAACTTGGTTTTTTCCCTCCCTCAGTAGGCTGTTTCTGATGGTATCCGGCTGATAGATATTGAGTATCTTGCTTAGACAACTATTTATAAATACTTGTACCTTCCTGATGATGGTTGTAGTAGTTCTCAAAGCTTCAGTTCTGTACAGACGGACTGTGTTGACGTTCTTATTAAAGATTGTGACTTTGATATTGGTTGAGAGTTGTTTTGAGCTGCATATTTTCTTCAACTATAGGAATGCTGTCCTTGCTTTGCCAATCCTTGCCTTTACGTCTGCGTCAGAAGTTTCTTGTTCATCGATGATGCTTCTCAGATATGTGAAAGATTCCATCTTTTTCAGAGCCTCTCCATAAAGTATAATTGTGTTGGTCTTCTCCGTGTTATATTTGAGGATTCTTTGTGTATGCTGAGACCCACTGATGCAGAGCCTGCTGCTGCACTGTTTGTTTTGACTTAAATTTGTTCGTAATATACTTCCTGGAGTATAGTAATCGGTTTTGAAAGTCAACCTTTGCAAGATCCAGTTTTACCCTATATTGACCAGTCAATATCACTTAAGATAAGTAACTGTTAAACTTAAAAGGTTAGAGGTGGGAAAGCGTATTCTGCTCCAAGTTACTCAGCTTGATAGCTTGAGAATTTTTCGGCAAACTTTACGAGTCCAACTAACTTCTTGTGAGAATGAGATATTTACATTCATTGATGACTTAGCAACAGCAAGTAATGTCATATTTGTTTAATCCTTCAAACATATTAAGCTATGTTAATCAAGGTACAAATATCATGAAATGCAGATGCTTAGTTTCCTTTTGATTACTTCTAAACCATCTAACACCAAAACATAGTTCACACTATGTTAAGTTATTAAAACAAGTGGTGGCTACATTGAAACTTGATTGATAGAGTTTACTCAACAAATAAATAATCCAAGAAAACACAACATGAATCACCACTCAGTGATTAATCAGCACAACTAACTATCTGAAATTCGGGTTGGTGGATATGAAGGATCCACCTATGGAAGTTGGAAAACTTTGACTCCAAACCAGTGGTGCATATGGGCTTCAATATCCTGAGTAAATAAATGGTGTATGAACCAATTGTTGGTCACCAGTTTTCATGAGACTGCATCTATTTATTTATTATTTATTTATTTGAACACATAAATATTGGTACAAGAGAGCGCCAATATATATGCGCCACACAAAACAATGAAAATTCAAAAAGAGATAGAAAAAAAAAACTAAGGAGCACAAAAGAAAAAGAGAACGATAACGAAGAGATTGATGTAAGGTAGTGTGGTCGTAACGATGGAACGGAAAGGTACAATCAGAAGAAATCTTTCAAGTAAGGGAGACACAACCACTTTTTATGAAGAAAGTAAAAGAAGGTTACAGCAGGATCGCCACTGGCTTCTATTCTGAGCCATATCTGATAACGTCTCTAGCCACTGTGTAGCACCATCTCTCAGACCCCAACCAGGGAGTCGTGAAGGACCGACAGAAGCCAGTCCTTTGCAGCTTTCTTTCATACCACGACACCATGTCATGCACTGACCACCTCTCCGCTTTTTCCAACCAGTCCCAGAGTCGGCAAATAATGCACGACGTGGAATTCTCTGGGACGACATTCGTAGAACATGTCCAAGCCACCGAAGTCGGTGTTTCAAGATGGTGACACCAATTGAATTATCATCTCTGTGCCCAAACACACGATGCCGAACCTCTGCATTACTGACATGGTGTTGCCACTGAATATCAGCAATCCTTCGGAGACAGCGATCATCGAACACAGAGAGTCGTCTAACGTCCTCAACTCGGAGAGGCCAGGTTTCACAAACATAGAGCAAAACTGCTCTCACCGACGCGTTGTAGATCCGACTTTTTACAGCCAGACTAACATCACGAAGGCGCCAAAGGTGGCCCAGATTGGCATAAGCCACTCTGGCTTTCACTATACGTGCATTGATCTCATCACTCACACCCCCACCAGCACTTATGCAGCTACCTAGATACACGAACTTCTCGACTACGTCTATCTGCTCACCATCCAGGGTGAGTACAGGATTGGAATCCTGCCAGTCTTGTAGAAGTACTTTGCACTTCGAAGGTGCAAAGCACCTACCATACCTACGGACACTGATTGCCAACTGATTAAGTGCGGATTGCATGCCTTGGGCATTATCGCACAGTAAGACAATATCGTCCGCATACTCAAGGTCGAGAAGTCTTTCTCCAGGCAACAGATCCACACCACCATTACTTACATTCATCAGAGCTGTTTCCAGAATGTCATCGATGGCAAAGTTGAAGAGGAATGGTGAGATTGGGCAACCCTGCCTAACCTTACTACTCGTATAGAACAATGGAGAGAGGTGGTTGTATGCCCTCACTCTGCCTGAGATGTTTTTATATAGGGCTTTCAGGATGTTAATATACTTCTCAGGCACACCCTTCTTCAATAGACAATCCCAGAGAACAGTCCTGTCCAACGAATCGAAGGCAGCCCTGATGTCAAGAAACACTACGATTGTTGGCCTTTGATAAGTATGGCGATGTTCTAACATTTGGCGGAGGGTGAAGATATGATCAATACAACCTCGACCAGAACGAAACCCAGTCTGCTCCTCGCGAGTCAATCTTTCTCGGGTTTTGACGGAAGCCAATAGCTTGGACGCAATCGGAAGTAGACTTATCCCCCGATAGTTGTTGCAGGAAGGACGTGAACCCTTTTTAAAGATAGGGACAACTATCGACTCATTCCATGACGTTGGCACACTCTCTAATTCCCAAACCTTTGAAAACAACGTCGTCAATTCCTTAGTCAAAAAGGCACCATCATCTTTAAAAAGAGCCGGAGGTAAGTCATCTGGGCCAGGTGATTTGTAACGCTTCAAGAGTTGGAGTTCCTTGCGGACTTCCTCCTCGTTTGGTGGATCAGTCGTCACCGGCCATGGAGGGCAGGGCAGTCTGACCGATGTTGCCAGAGCAGCAGGCCAGTTGAACTGCCCTTCGAAAAATTCTGCCCATCGTCCAAGACGTCGATGGATGCTAGTGATTGGCATCCCATCATCCTCGCAGATTGTTTCACTCACACCAGACTTCTTGCTGCCAGTGGCTCGGATGAGCTGGAAGAGCTTCCGGCAGTTACCAGATGCAGCTGCTGCTTCCAGCTCATTAGCACGCTCCGACCACCAGGCTTCTCGGTCCTTACGCAAGCTTTGCCCAATTTCCTTACGTAACATCCTTCGTTTATGGTCAAACTCACGGTTACCCGGAGTAGACCGACGGGCTTCAATGAGTTGTAAGGAACCAGAAGAAACCCAGTGCTTAAAAGCGGGACGTTTCGCAAACCCACAACTGACTGTTCCCGCCATTTTCATGGCGTCAAGCAATTGCGACCAATGCTCATCTATACTTTTCGGTGGAGTGGTAGCTAGCCTAGAGGCTAACTCGGTTCGATACTTATTTGCAACAGAAGTTGCAACCAGCTTGCTAATATCAATCCTTTGTTGGCGGTCACTTCGTTGTCCACTGAAAAGTAAGGCAAGATTGGCGCAGACCAAGGCATGGTCAGAGTCCAGATAGGTACTCCAAAAGGAGCGGCAGTCTTTTACACAACCACGCCAGCGGAAGCTGATCGCGATGTGATCAATCTGAGTCCAGGCTTGGAATGCAGAGGGAGGACGCCAGGTGGCACATCGGCGATGACTGTGCCGAAAGTTAGTGCTAGCCAGAAACAGGTTGTGGTCTGTGCAAAGTTGCAGTAGACGGTCCCCGTTATCTGACCTGCGACCAACGAGTCCCCATCGGCCACCTAAACGACTCTCTTCTGTGCCTAGACGCCCGACCTGAGCATTCAACTCTCCGGCTAGTACTACAATATCTGTCGAGCGCACTTTCTGGAGAAGAACAGATAACTGGTGGTAAAACTCATCCTTGATTGCATCCGGGCTGCAATCTGTCGGGGCATAGGCGGAGATGACGAAAAGACATCGTTTCTCACGCCAATTTCTTCTCACTTTGATGGAACTTTCTAATCTAACAGTACATAGCCGACTGTTAATGGGGATCCAATCAACTAGTGCTGCCTCAGCTCTAGCGCTTAGTGCGACTCCAACGCCAGCAAGACCAGACGAAGATGCCACAGGGTCCCCGGATAAGCGCACGTAAAACAAGCTTTTCGAAGAGACAGATGGAGAGCTAATTTGTAGTACTTCGCCAGAGTCTTGAATACGGTTCTCGGATAGACAACAAACATCAATATTAAGACTTTCCAAAGACATAGCCAGCCCTATCTGTTGTCCGACCTGCACTAGTGTGCGAACGTTGTAGGCAGTCAGTTTGAATGGTGCACGTGGTTTCAGAAAAACTGCTTCAGTTCTCGTAATCGGTGGTAACATACAATTTTCAACCGGACAGTGACTCGAGAACGTTTAGATACAGTCGAATTTCCACCAAAGACGAGCCGCTGTATAAGTATAAAAGAGGGTGAATAATGTGGAAAATAATAATAATAATAATAATAGTATTAATAATGACAATAATAGTAATAATTATTTGAGTCGATTGATTGTTTATCGGAGCGAGAAAATTAGTTGCCATAGTCATAGAGTTCATCGTTTGTGTGTGGGCTGTGATACTGCCCGGGTGCCCAAACCGAAGCAGGTGGTTATCTTAGGGGGCCACACCCCGAGCCTTTGACCTAATGGTCTAACCCACAAGGCAGTGGAGCATCGTAAGGAGATGCAATCCCATGGTAGCCGGTGACCAACGATTGGTTCATACGCCATTTGTTCCCGCAGGATACTGGAGCCCATGTGCACCATTGGTTTGTGATCCGGTTAAAGCGCCGGACATTCGCTTTTCGTCCTCTCATTTTCGTAAACAACACCCCCGCCACGAGAAGGCAATGAGTAGGACTTCCCTGGCAGAGGCTGTATACGCGCGGCCGTGTGAGAGTATTTCGAGAGGGAGAGCGGACTCTCCCCACTCTCGGCCGTACCAGGGCGTTGCTCCAATCAATGCCTTGCGGATCAGACCTTTAGGTTTAAGGCTTTGGGTATGGCAACCTAAGAAAACCACCTGGTTCTGTCTGAACACCCTTCGGTCAGTTGTGGTTTTAATGAACATAAGTTATCTTAGTGGTTTTTTTAATCAAATTCAAAGGTTTGTGGAGTTCGTTTTATATGTGAAAGTAATTTTCATTGTTAACTGACACATCCATTGGCAATTTTTTATAAATCGAGGACGGTTACATCAAAGCCAGTGTTTTATAAAGATAACACTTGTACAATTATCATCAGTATCCTGAAGCACAGTGATCGAATACAGAGAGGTCCCCGAACATCTTCATTTCAGGGAATGTGGGTACTAGATTTTGTAAACATAAAGTTAGGAATAATCCCATCAAAACGTTGTATACTCGACTGTTTACAGCCAAATTCACATCATCTCCCATATTATCATCAGCTCTTACATTATTAACTAGATATATAATCCTCTTAACCATTTCTTAGGTCTTACTACAATTAATGACTTCAGACACAGATTTCTTTCAGCTAAGTAGTTCAGAGTACATCTCATACTTGTTATTTATTTATTTATTGAAACATATTAACATTGATACAAGGAGGTACCAGACAGATATGCCCCACATAAACCATTTGATTTGTATGAGAGCTGGAATACTGCCCCGGGTGCCCAAACCGAGGCAGATGATTTTCCTAGTGGGCCACACACAGAGCCTTCGAGCTAAAGGTCTAATCCACAAGGTATTGGAGCAACGTCAGAAGATGCAGTCATACGGTAGCTGGTGACCAATAATCAGTCCGTACGCCATTCGTTCCTGGAACTATTGTACACCATTGGTTTGGTACCAAGGTTTTTCAACTCCATTAGGTGAATCTTCCATATCCGCCAACTCAGTTCAACCACCAGATATTCTCTTTTCATCCCCTCAATTTCGTAAACAACAGTAATGCCATGAAAAGGTAGTGAGCAGAACTTTGCTTACAGTAGTTGTAGTCTGAGGGCGAAGTCGCACTGCTGACTGTAGAGGAGTGTGACAGCAGTAAGATGTTCCCCTCAGACAACCAGCATGACAGCGATGCTGCCTTCCCACAAGGAGGGGTGGGGTTAGAAAAGGTCGACCCTAAAAATGTCACACCTCACCTTACCTCACGGATTTCCGTCTCCGGCGGTAAGGCCTTTTGAAGAACG